TCTCCTGATTTTGACATTAATCCTAGAGGCCTTTTACAGGGTCATTTATGGCAAATGGATGTTACTCATTAACATTTTTGGCAAATTAGCGTATGTTCATGTGTCTATAGATACTTACTCTCATTTCCTCATTCAGGGAAAAGGGTCAAAGATGTAATTGCTCATGGTATGGAAGCTTTATCTATTATGGGTCTCCCTAAACATATTAAAACGGATAATGGACCAACATATACTAGTACATCATTTGCAAGATTTCTTCACACTTATGATGTAAAACACACGACAGATATTCCTTATAACCCTCAAGGACAAGGTTTAGTAGAACGAGCTCATCAAACTCTTAAAGCATATCTGTCAAAAACAAAAGGGGGGAGTAGCGGCAGTCCCCGCTCTCGTCTAGCACATGTATTATTTATTTTAAGTTTTTTAACTGTAGACCCAGCTACAAAACTGACAGCTGCAGATCGCTTATGGCATGCTAAGGGACAAACAGCCCATCCACTTGTAAGGTGGAAAGATGTTTTAACAGGACAATGGATGGGTCCTGATCCTGCATTAATGTGGGGAAAAGGAGCTGCCTGTGTTTTTCCGCAAAATGATCCGGGACCTCGATGGATTCCTTCTCGTTTTTTATGGTTTGACTCTTCTAAAACTACATCATAAATGCTTTTACCTCTTTGGTTTGTTTTATATCTTATAGATGCTGTCCCTAACCTTTTTTCTCCTTTTCGGAGCTATGGAAGTTGCCTCTTTCAATAAAACCAATGTATGGCTGATATTGGTTCAATTGGCAGGGACTGATAATATCGACCTAAAACAAGATGTCCATTTGGGAGCAATATTGGGTTCCTGTTTACTACCTGTCTGTCATCCAGCAGAAGAAATAAAAAAATATGACCTTTTTCTCCAATTTTGATAAAACTATTACTTATGCTGATTATTCTAATTGGAGCACCCCTTCTTATCGCCTACCCCGAAATGCAGTTCAAGTTATAACCACTACTGTTATTGTAACAGATAATGACACCTGCACTGAGTTTCATAATTGTGCAACTAAATGTAGATCTATGGGACCTTCCTTTGCATGTAATAATTCCTTTGCGGTTCCTTCAAGTTATGGACATGTGCCACTTCCAAGAGGCTGGTTTTTTTCCCTGTGGAACTTATACATTCAACTACATACCGGCAAATATGACTCATGGAACACGTTGCTGTCTTAGTCGTCTCATAGTTTTCCTTCCCTCCATTGGTGATTTGCTTCCTGAACATCCTTCTCGTCGCTTATAAAGAATGGCTACACTAACATCGGACTGTAAGGACGATATAAACTTATTATCTAAAGCAGAGTTTGATGCATTGACTTTTTCCCTTGTAGGGATCCCTGGATTGGCAGTAGAAGCTTATAAGACAGCTATGAAATTGGCATGTGTAATGACAAAAAACATTAATTCTACATCTACTGCTCTAGCCTTGTTGAATGAAGAACAGCAGGTTTTACGACAAGGAGTTTTGGATAATAGAGCTGCTATAGATTATTTACTATTGTTACACCATAAAAAATGTATTAAAGTAAAAAATATGTGTTGCTTTAATCTGACAGATAACAGTGTTCCTATTGATACAGAAATTCATCATTTGAAAGAAATGATTGATAAAATCAGACAATATGAAGGAAATGAAGAATTATTTTCATGGTTAACATCTTGACTTCCTAATATTTCCTGGTTAAAACAATTAATGATATGTGTGATTTTGATATTTGGCATGTCTATACTTGTTTGTTTCATTGGTCGCTGTATGATCACTTGTCTCTTATCTCATCCTCCTGTGGTGACTTCATATGCCTCCCGACGGTTTGGATGATTGTTGCCAGTGACGGGTAAGATGAATCACTGCACATATCAATTTAAGACAGAGGCTTACATTTCCCATCAATGGAAGTCCTCCATGACGGGTAAGAATGTTGCAGTACGGTTCACAACCTAAGACAGGCGCAATCGCCGTCATTGTTATTTAAGGGGAAACTGTGTGCTCAAGCACACAAACAGTTAAGTTTTGCTGTGCTTAGCAAAACAAGGAGTTCTATGAGAAAGTATGAACTCTTTGAACTGTGTCCTTGTTGCTGTCTTAAGAAGATAAGAGAAAAGAATGTTTTGCCAAGTGTAAAATTTTATGTGTGTGTGTGTGTGTGTGTGTGCGTGTTTGCCTGGGAATAACTAACCAGAAGTTAATTGATAAGAAATATGGAGCACTGTGACCATAAACAAAGTTTTCCTGAGAATGTTTATCCATGTTTGTAAGGATTAAGCTGTCGAAAGGATGTTTTCCTTTCCCCTTGTTTTAATTAACAATGCTGTATAAAAGAAGGGGAGAAAAAAGTAAAGACGGTGCTCATTTTCTACTGAATATGTGTGTGTGTGTGTGTGTGTGTGTCTTTCTTAAGCATCTCTGCCGTACCAAGAATTACAGATTGTCAGCGGATCTGACAGAGAGGCAAGATGCAAGGCTGGAGAAGGGACAAGGAGAGGTATCACTCAAAGGCATGGTAAACGTACTAAGGAGCTCAAACTTGACTCTGGGAAGACTCTGGAATGTTTTCAGCAGTCATGACAATGGAAACATGAGGATTTTAAGAGAGTTTATTCTGAAATCTATGTGGAAGATGTATTTGAATGAAAAAAGTATAAACCAGGCTGTAACAGAAGACCAGGTCAGAAACAGTAGAGCCGTGGAGGGAATGGAGAGAGAGGGGGCAATTCAAGAAAATGTTTAGGGGCTGGGGTTGTGGCTCAGTGGTAGAACACTCGTTTAGCATGCATGAGGCACTGGGTTCAAACCTCAGCACCACAAAAAAATAAAATAAAAGATATTGTGTCCACCTAAAACTAAAAAATAAATATTTTTTTAAAAAAGAAGAAAATGTTTAGAAGGAAATCTATGAGACTTTTTAATTGATTGAATCTGGAGGATGCAGAATGTAGAAGAAAGACTACGAGTACTATATGTCTTTGTTAGTAATATACAGAATACCAAAGAAATAATTTGGTGAATTATGGTCAGTTCAGTTTTAAATGGATCACTTAGATGTGAGTCTGAAGATTTAAAGAGAACCCCTATGTAGTGACTTAAGCAATTAGTTTATATTTTTTCCATATAAAATTATCTAGCAAAACTTACAACTAATAGATTTAACCCTTGCCCCCTGATTCATAATGATATTAAATTCCCATGACATGTAGGTAATTTCTTGAGCATTCTAGACCGTTACATCAATATTCTTGTCTACTCCCATGCTAGTACTACACTATTTTTACTGCTACTACCCCAGTTTTATGAAGTCCTACCTTATCATTACCATACCTTCTTCTTCCTTTTCAAAATTGTCTCAACTGTTTTGGGCCCTTGATTCTTCCAAACATTTTGCTAAACTTCATGAAAATCTGTGCTAGCATTTTGACTGAATTCATGCTGAAGTTATAGGATCAACCTGGCGAGAACTGATATCTCAATGAAACTGACTCTTTCCAACTATGAACAGTATATATCTTCAAGTCTTTTATTCATAATTTTCCATAAAGATTTGTTCTCATCTCTCTTGTTCAATTTATTAAAGCTATGACATAGTTTTTACCATAGGAATGGTGATTTCTTTTAACATTACCTTTTCTGACTGCCTATTTCAAGCATATCAAAACTACTCTTGGTTTTTGTACAGTCATACATTGCTAAATGACAGGATAAATACATTCTGAAAAATGTTCATTAAGTGACTTCATCCCTGTGTTAACATCACAGAGTGTATTTACATCAACGAAGATAGCAATATAATATTATAGGACAACAGTTAGATATGTGACTTATCACTGACATAAACACTGTTATGTGGTACATGACTACATAATGGCATTATGTCCAGTAGAATATATAGATATAGATTTGGGGAGCACCATAAAAGTTAAATATTAATAATAATTACAAAGGTTATTATCTATCATTAAATATTATGTTTGAGGCCCTATGCTAAAGGCTTAAGTGAGTTCATTAATCCTCAGAACTCCATGATGCAGGTGCAACTCTTGCCTTATTTTATAGTCCAGAAGACTAAAAATTAAAGCTAGATTAAAAACAAACCAGGGAAAGAAGCATGAATAATACTAATACCTAAAAAGACAAGAAAGTGAAGGAAGAAAAACCAATTAACAAGACAAGGATCATGGTCTACATCAACAGTGAGATATAACAAAACTAAAATAGGGTGAGTATTCAAAAGGAGACCCTCAAATGTGTCAAATGTAGCAGAGAGATAATGTTTAAGGTAAGAGATGCACAATTTTTCCTTGGATTTTTAAATTAAGAGGACACTGGTTATCTCAGTCAAGGCAGTTTCTGTGGAATAGTGGGGACAAAGCCAAACTGGAATGGCTGCTTCCAATGAGTGGTCAAAGGCAGCTAAGAAACAGAAAATAATGAAACATGAAACATGACAGTAAAAGAAAAAAAATTATAGACAGTTTCTAACAGGAGATCAAGGTCAAGGGGAAGGTGCTGGGAGCCACATATATGTTTTCGATTTGTTGTTAAGAGCTGTGGTTCTTGCTTCTTCATACATGCTGCATTTTCCAGCCACAGTATTTTTCTTTGATTCCTACTGTTGGGTCTTAATCAAAGAAAGGCTGAATCAAATGCTACCTTCTTTTTGAATATCTACTTCCCATGAACTAGTATTCATACATGAATCCAAGAGATCTAACACTGTGAGCCTCAGTAATTTAAGTCTTTAGAATAAGAAATATAAGTCTTAATTGCATCATCTTGAGAATGACCAGGCCACCAGTTCACAAAGGAAACATCACTGACACATCTTTTGACCCAATGTAAAAGGTGTTCTCAGTACCAGATCAGCTGTATATAGCCATCCTGAATCACCAATGGCAGACATGCTTTACTTTGATATAAAACATTTCACAAACTAACAATTAAAATATTTTTTAAAACCTTACTCTGGCAGCAGAAGCGAAAGAATCTGGGCCATGAGCTGCATTTCTTATGCCATCTGTTCCAAAAAGGGCTCTAATGCTTCCAGGAGCATCTGTACGAGCCACCCCAGAGTTTGCAGGTCCAAGCAGCCTTTTCCATTCACATATTGCATCATCTCTTAAAAGCTCCATAGCAATAACAGGACCACTTGTAATAAACTGGATCATCTCACTATAAAACAGGGAAAAGATTGGTTTGCTTTTGACAACATAAGACTTCTCTCTTAACCACATAGACATATTTAAATCTGAATATTTCAACATAGACAAGAATATTACAATCTCAGAACTATTGTTGGAGTAATGAGCTTTATATGAGCAGAATAAGGTTTTTATAAACTAAGTGTCTTGAAGTAGCCCAATTCACTAAAAATCAATATAGTAGTAATGTCAAATCAATTAGTGTTAGCAAAAAAAAAAAATTACTTTTATTGGATTAAGACCATTTCATTGACTGTGTGTGTGTGTGTGTGTACACAGAACTATCAGAATTCAAAAAGAGTGATGAAGAACTCTCTATAAATAAACATTGACTTGGTTTAGTGATAAAGAAAAAGGGTGTCAATGGGTCTTCAAGAAATATATATTTATTATACAAAAGCTACTGAGTTTCCTATATTAAATTATTAAAGCATACACAGAGGTTCTTGATTAAAAATCTAGTAATGAATCACCATCCTCCAGGGAATAAAAAAAGTAACGCATTTTATACTTCCACTTCCACATGTACAAACACAGCAGTGACAAGGTTAACTGTGAAAGGAGTAAGTATCCTCGCTACTGCGGTAAGCAGACAGAAGCATGCTTTTAGGGTGAGCCCATGTTTCTCTCTCATCCATATCAGAGAGACAACAGGACTGTGAGGGAGGAACAGAGAGTAACAGTCCTTGTGCCTATTAACTTAGGACTGTTTTACACAATTCCTTCCTTCACGTACCATGTAACCTGTCTAATTTAGAGATACATACACTCCCATGTTACCTGTCTAACTCCCTCAGTACTTCACCACTCCAATTCATTTTAAAGACTATTCCTAAGAAATAGCATGTATGAAGTGATATTCACCCTCTACTCTAAGAAGACCATGGGACCCACTAGCACATACTTTGCTAGCCCTTACCTACCCCCTAAAACCCCTGCAAACCAACCATTAGATCTAAGGAGCCCAAACAGAGGTAGCACACCCATGTTTATCCATTCAATAAGCATTTGATGATACCCTACTGCATATCAGAATTTATACTATAAGATTTCTCCCACAAGAAATTGATTATCTAAAGTCCTGTTAATGCAGAATTCTAAGAATATGAGTTTATCATGTAATAACATAGAGAAGAGTATATCATAAGATATTGCTTCATGAAGTGATATCCAGTTACTGCTGATATTCTTTAATTACATCTTTCCCAATACTAGGCAACTAGTTAATTCATTCATTTAATAAACTTTACTGCATATTAATTACATATAAGACATTAAACTAGGATTTGTAATCCACTGATACAAAGTGAAATAAAAGAACCTATAAGAATAATTTCTACAAATCTGCTAGAAAACTGGATATAAAACAAGACTTGGGAAAATTTTATAAGGCTTGATTTAAAATAATCTGTAAGAAAAGAGTTAGAAACTTTAGAGATACATACACTGCCATGTTTATAGCAATCACAATTGCCAAATTATGGAACCATCTTAGGTGTCTATCGATAGATTAATGGATAAATAAAATGTGGTATGTACGTACACACACACACACACACACACACAATGGAGTTTTTATCAGCCATAAAGAATGAAATCATGACATTTGTAGGAAAATGGACAGAGCCAGAGAGAATTATGTTAAGTGAAATAAGCTAAAATCAGATAGATAAGGGGCTCATGTTCTCTCTCACATGTGGAATTTAAAGAAAAAAGGGTCTCATGAAGATAGAAGGGGGACCATAGGGTACAGCATGAGGGTCAGGAGGAAGGAGCAGGAGAGGGCAAAGGGTGGTACTAGGGAGTGAAATTGATCAAATTAGGTTAAATACATGTACAGATATGCCACAATGAAACCCACTCTTTGGTATAATTAATATGTACCAATAAAAATATTTTTAAAAATCTGTAACAGTAATTTTCTTGTAAAAAGCTTTAAAAATACTACTCTGTGTAGGATACCAAATGGCATGTCTGTTGTAGCAGTTTGAGTAAAATAACATTTATCCTTATTAGAAATGTAAGCATTCCTTTGTATGTCAATAATTAAGTGTGTACCATTTTCACTTAAACTTAATTATATAGCAAATATTCAGGATACAGATTGTTTCTAATATATATTAGTTGCCATTTTTCAAGAAATAAAATATATATCAAATTATTTAAGTTCAAATATAAGGGTTCTATGAATATTTTATACATACAAGATGGCCACAGTAAGAGACTTTAAAAGCACAACAAAAATATCCATCAATATAATCGTTACTACATTTTTAATTCACTCAAGAAAGCTATGCTTCTCGTAACTTAAATCATCTCCTTCAGATTAAAGTTTCAGCTATTTAATGATGAACATATAGAATTCTTTTTTTATGGTACTGGGGATTAAACCCAGGTCCTCCCACATGCTAGGCAAGCACTATATCACCAAGCTGTATCCCCAGTCCTTTTTAATTTTAAGACAAGGTCTCTCTAAGATGTCCAGGCTGGTCTTGAACTTGCAATCCTCCAGTCTCAACCTCCCAAGTAGCTGAGATTACAGATGTGTACGACTGTGCCTGGCCTGAGACAAAAAATTGTTATCTAATAAAAGAAAATAATTCTTAGAAAAGAACTCTGTGCAGTTGCCAAGATGTAATTTTGGTCCTTTTGACAGCTTATTCTCATGAAATAAAATTTTAAATTATAAAATATGATTCTTGCCAGGTATAGAGGTATATGCCTGTAATTCCAGCAACTAGGGAGGCTGAATGAGGCAGGAAGATTGCAAGTTCAAGGCCAGATTGAGCAACTAAATGAGATGCTGTCTCAAAATAAAAAAATAAGTGCTAGGGTGTAGCTCAGTGGTTGAGTGCTTGCCTAGCACATGTGAGGCACTGGGTTTAAGCCTCAGCATCACATAAAAATAAATAAATAAATAAGTAAAATACAGGTATTATGTCCATCTATTTAAAAATAAATAAATAAATAAAAATAAGCAAAAGAGTTGGGGAATATAACTCAAGTGGCAGAGCACCCCTGGGTTCAATCCCTAGTAGAACTCTCCCATACACATACATGTATAACTTTAGTTTTCCAAGATATTCTCCATTATGTACCACTAGTCTCAAGTTAAATACCTACTTATAAAACGGCCTTGACTGGTGGTCTACATGAAAATCAGTTGCTTCTTTCCTATAAAATAATCAAAATGACAACAGTTGAGAATTATGTAAGAAAACTATTATTTTAGCTTATCTTTAAAAAAAGATGAAAACCTCTAAATATACATATCTCAGTGTGTGAATTAATTAATGATGTTTTACCAAGCAGACTGTTAAATTCCCCTCCTTTTAAATATTTTGCAAGCATGAGTCATTTCTATGTTAAGATGTAAAATTAAAATGAATACAAGAAGTACTACTCATGTTGGGATGAAGCTGAAATCAAAGACAACTTGTCCAGGTTCCTCAGCTAAGTTAGGGACCCTATCACACTATTAAGGCAAGCTGATAGACTGGCATCCTAACCAGCATACAATCTGAAGGCTGTGAAGAAGCTTTTTAGTTTGATATCATTGCAGTTATTGATTTTTTATTTTACTTCTTTACTTTAGGAGTCTTGTTGCAGAAGTCGGTTTCTAAGCTGACATGATAGAGAGTTGGGCCCACTTTTTCTTCTAGTAGACACAGGGTCTCTGGTTGATGCCAAGGTTCTTGATCCACTTTGAGTTGAGTTTTGGGCAGAGTAAGAGAGAGGGGTTAAATTTTATTCTGCTCCATATGAATTTCTACTTTTCCTGGCACCATTTGTTGAAGAGGCTATCTTTTCTCCGATGTATGTTTATGGCGCCTTTGATGTGACAGGATTTTTAAAGAAGATTAAAATAAAAATTAATTTACAAATCCTTGTGAAATAATGGTGAGTTTCTTCATAAAACCAGTATAAAACTCTTATAGATGGTGATGCACTTGCTAATATCTATCTCCTTCTAAGCTGTATAAGGAATTAGATAAGAATAAGGAGGAAAATTCACACACTCTCATTCTGGCTTCAATTTTAGAGGTTGGAAGAGAAAAATACTTAAGGGAGTCCTTTTCACTTATATTAAAGATAGTGGTTGTTCTTTTCCCTGGTAGTAGTTAAGTTTGTGTATGTGTTGAATGGTTTGGAATTCATCATTTTAGTACTCTTCTACTGCTTCTTCTGATTTACTTCTTGTTTGAGTTTTTCAGATATCAATTTTACCCCATTTTAAGCAGCTGTATGATATATGCATGTCACATTTTTATGAACTCTTTACTGTCTAGATTTTTGTTGTTGTTTTCAGTTAGTGGTAGAAAGAGCATAAGCAATCAGAGACTTGGGTTCAGATCTTCCTATCTTTCCCTAATTGTTCTTTGACCTTACCATGCTAAACTTGTTCTTCTCATATGTAAAATGAAGGTGGTCACATCTAGTACAATATATTGTTGTGGAATAAATAATTTAGTCATGGCATGTAGTGGGCTCTGGAAACATGTGAGTTTTTTTCCCCCTTCTCATGTCTTGTTATTCTCTGTACTTGTGTAGTATATTTTTATAATGTCTCCACAGCCAGAGGGAGTATTTGAGTATGTGTGTGTAGAACTGACATAACATATATGTGCAAATTCATTTTGTAATAGGCCAATGAGGTATTTTTTGATGTGTTTCTTTTCAATAGAGACCACATCACTTCATCTGTTATAGTGAATAACAGATGAGAGGCAATAATTCAAGAGGGCACCAGAAAGCTTTTTCATCATAAAATGACAGAAAGGGTTTAGCATCTTCACCACCCAACCCTTTGTTAGTTCTTTCTTCTGATCTGCCTGCTGCTTCACACTAAAAAAAGCAAATAACCCAGTTGATGAATGGGCAAAGGAACTGACCAGGCCCTTTACAGAAGAAGAAATACGAATGACCAACAAATATATGAAAAATTATTTAACAACTCTAGCAATTAGAGAAAAGCAAATTAAAGCTACATGGTGATTATTAAGAATACAAGTAACAATAAATGTTGGCAAGGATGTAGGGGAAAAGGCACACTCATACATTGCTGGTGGGACTGCAAATTTGTGCAACCACTCTGGAAATTCCTCAGAAATCTTGGAATGGAACCACCATTTGACCCAGTTTTCCCACTCGTTTGTATATACCCGAAGGACTTAAAATCAGCATACTACAGTGATGCAGCAACATAAATGTTTAGAGCAGCTCAATTCACTGTAGCTAAGCTATGGAACTAACCTAGGTGCCCTTCAACAGAGGAATGGATAAAGAAAATATGGTATATATACACAATGGAACTACTCAGCCACAAAGAATGATATTATGCTGGTAAATGGATGGAACTGGAGACTGTCATGCTAAGTGAAATAAGCCAATTTCAAAAAACTAAAGGTCCAATATTCTGTATGATATGTGGATACTAACACACAATAAGTAGGGGGCAGCAAGAGTAGGTAAGAATAGAAGTCCATTGGATTAGACAAAGGGGAATGAAGGGAAGGGAGAAGGGATGGGAATAAGAAAGACAGTTGAATGAATCAGACAGAACTTTCCTATGTTCATATATAATACATGACTGGTGAAACTCTACGTCATATACAATTAACTACAAGAATGGGAAGTTACACTCCATGTATGTATAATATGTCAAAATATACTCTATTGTCATATATATATATAAAACAAAAACCAATAAATTTTTTTAAAAAAAGAATAGCACTGTAACTTTATAATTCCCTTCCTATCCTTGATACCCTTGTCATAAAAAAAAAAAAAGAAAGAAAAAGGCACACTGTCATGTGTCACTTAACCATATTATCTATTCTGATAAACGCACTGCTAAGTGATATCATGGCACTAAGGTAAGAGCCAAGGCATATTCAAGTAATGGAAACCTAAGAAGTGGCAAGAGGTGAGCCTACTAAAATAGGTTAAGTCAGATGAATAAGGGTGTTATGTACTCCCCCAAAGAGCTAGTGTGTTTTCTCCAGCAGACAATGGGAAACCACTGTAGGTTTAAGAGGATGGAGATGTGCTCAGATTTCCATTCTACTGATAAGCCTCACTCTATTGGCAATATCCAGAGTAGAAGGAAGCAATCTTGGGTAAGGAGTAACCTATCAAGAGTCATTAAAGAACATTAACTTTAGAAGTAGGCAAATTGGCCAGTAACATATTTAAATGCTTTTACAAGTTGAACAGGATCCTATGCTAAGCTGCAATGGGAATTGTAAGGAAGGAAAGGCTCTCAAAGATGTATAGAAATCAGAAGTAAGAAGACTTAAATATCAGGTAGATGTGAGAAATGGGGGGTAATCAGGTTGAATCCAGGATCATTTTCAGATTGATGATAACAGAGAAAAGTCAGAGCTAGAGATATACCTGCATTTCACCTATAAATAAGTAGCAGGTGATTATATGGACATGGACATGGACATGAACATGGATGGGACTACCCAGGGAAAGTACAAAGAAAAGGATATGCATAGGACATGCTTTAAGAAAAAGATGTAGCCATGGAAGTAGGTCACTGAAAAGATGGTGGCAGTCATTGAGATGGGGAAATCCAACCACCTTGATGATCACTCACAGAAATCTTGAAGTCATCCCTACCAACAGAGACAAAGATTACAAGCCAAATGTCCAAATACTGAATAAATGTGGGGTTTGTGACCTGAAGAATGGAAATGAGGACAATGTATGGCATGGCCTTCCAAAAACGAGCTGTTCTGTGAAAGCGTGGAGATTTTCAGAGGGAGATAAAGTATTGATGCTACATCCTGACCCTATGACACAGGAATATTCAAGAGTGAACAGCCTACACAAAAGGGCTAATAGGAAATGGAAGCCCTTGGAGAAGAGTCAGATTCCAACTAAAGGAAAGGTGAAAGGGCGACTTGGAAGCTCTCTATTATGACACTGTGGACACAAGAATGTTTGTTTACAATGAAACTTGGCTTCCAGAAGGACCAGTATAAAGGGTCTGATAACAGATAATGATCACCTGACTAAGGGAAAAGGGAGTACACAGCAACAAAGGAACAAATATTTGTGTAGACAATAATTAGAAGGGCTCACATTTGTGGCATTCCAAAGGCTGAAGAGTTTTATAATACATAGATGGAATTAACAAATTTCAAGGTTCCAAAAAAACTCTACAAATTTATACTATGTGGTGTTCCTAAAGTGTTGATTTTTTTTTTTTTTTAATGTGCTACAAGGCTTTTGTGATAAACAAGCATCATCCCTATCATGGGACATTTGACACCATGCTATGAAAACACTGGAGGTAGACATTAAATGCATGCAGCCCTTGTACCACGTTAAGCTACACATACTATCATGATCCCCATTCTTCAGATGAAAAAAACAAGTACCGAGGTAGAATGTTCAGAGTCACATGCATAGAAAGTGCCATAGCTGCAAGCAATCTGGCCATAGACACTGCTCTAAAGTGTAAGCCTCTGCCTCTACATAACATGGAAACAGGGAGATTTCATATAGGAGAAAACTTTCAAATTTAAACATGTCACTGTTGAGATAAAACTAAGGGCACTTTGTCAGCATTTCCAGGATCACACCTATTGAAGCTAGGTTGAATGTTCACTGTTTCCTGTTGTCCCTGTTTTCAGAGATGAAAATGCAAGTGACCCACGGAATAGAAATTCAGGAACCAATGATTTTTTGAAGGAAAAAGAAAGTACCAAAACCAAAGAAAAGATCAAAATCAAAGAAAAGAACTGATGGAATTACAGAATACTGGAGCCAGCTCTGCCTAACTGCCACTCACAGGCCCCTTCTGTGTCACACTCAGCCGATGAGAATATGACCCCAGGGAAACGGAACTCTGCCCCAGAGATGCCCCACCTCCCTTCTACATCCTCTGGAATATTTCCGTCTTTGTTTTGCCTACTGGGTATGAAAATTAAAAAAAAAAACAAAAACAAGTGTCCAATGTCATAGAAAGATACTGCACTTCTTCCCAGTGGTTTTTCAGTTTCTTTGGAGAAGTTATCCCATTTCTCTGTTCTTTACTTGGACATTGTGAATATTTTTCTTGCCATTCCCAAGGGAGAAACACCATTTTATCATGAGATTAGAGTTACTTTATTTTTTGATAAAGCTAAGTAGAATAAGTTTTATTTTCATTAAATTACTTAGAAAATGTCTGGTTAGATACCTTGGATTGCTTTCCCAGTAGTAAGCAGACATATTTACCCATTATATATACTTAGAAGAGATAAATACAAATACTTCCAAATATATCAATATTGAAAACCTATAATAATCACATTCATTTCCTCGTCTATCACTTAAATACAGTATGTCATTCTTATGTATTAAGAACATATTGTAACTATCAACCATTAATGTCATAGAAGCAGACAGGGCTGTGGAAGACAATAGAGCGTTACATAAGAACTGTCTGACAACTCCCAGTTGTTTAGAGTTCAAATGATTATTTATGCATCTGATAACCTGTTTTATTTTTCTCATTCTGATAAAATTACTATTCTACTCTGTCATTCAGTGAAGAGCTTTCTTTAAATTTTAGACAATAGAAGGAAAGATAGGTAAGTTTTTTTAACAAATGAAATCAGACATTATATAACTGAGAATGATTTTAAAAAATTACCTGGAAAGCATCATCATTTTAAGTTTAGTTATAGTAAATCCAGCTTTGTTTATTATTTCAATTATTTCTCCAGCCTTTGTTACTGCATCTGGTTTAATCAGGGCTAATGTTCTGTAAATAAATAAATAAGGAATAAATTTGAAAATAAACAAAGTTTTTCAGGTTTTTTTTAAAAATACCCAAGGAGTGGTAGTTTCCTTAACAATCACCCCAGATTGGGCTGGGATTGTGGCTCAGCAGTAGAGCACTCGCCTAGCACGGGTGGGAACCGGGTTCGATCCTCAGCTCCACATAAAAATAATTATAAATTCTTCTTCTGACTCTTTATTCACATAATGGGTGATGCACAAAGAGCTCAATGTCCTCTCACCCAACGATGTATACAAATAGCAAGCACCATGCTGACTTTTAAAATCATGCTTCCTTCCAAGAGCATAAAACAGAGCAATGTACTCTCTGAAGTCTATGAATTAACAGAATTTTGGAGATGGACATAATCTCAATGTTACTTTACTGATAAGGAAACTAGGCCTAAAGAGGTAATATGGAAAAGTCACACAAATGATTAGTTTCATCTTCAGGACAAAACACATAGCTCAGAAGACTCCTAGGTCTGTGCTCTTTACCCACCATAAATAGTGTTACTATTATTAAATAAGTGCACCATCACCAAATCTGCAAGAATAATATTTGCAAGTATAAGATAAAAACCTGACCAGTTGCAATAACTCAATCTACATGATAAAGACTTGCTGCTACTTCCACTTCATTGTTCTGACAATATTGGCATTAATTCAAGGAATCCATACAGGAGAACAGTTTTCATATTAAGCTATTTTTATCAACAAAAAGAACATAACATAAAGGCTGGGGATATAGCTCAGTGGTAAAGCACCTCTGGGTTCAATCCCTGGTACCAAAAAAAGAAAGTCTTTGCTTTTTATTTCACCTTATTTAACCATTATAAGCCAACATAACCTAAAAATTGCATTAAACTCTAGAAGAATATTTCACAAACCCTAACTCTTAAAATATAAGATAATAACAGTCATCAATTTCTTTTTTTATTTTTTAAAATTAATTAATTAGTTTATTTTAATTAGATACATATGACAGAATGCATTTTGATTCATTGTACACAACTGCAGCACAACTTTTCATTTCTCTGGTTGTACACGATGTAGCGTTGCACCACATGTGCAGTCATACATGTACCTAGGGTAATAATGTCCATCTCATTCCACCATCTTTCCTACCCCCATGCCTCTTCTCCCCACTCCCTCCCCTATGCACAATCAAAGTTCTTTCACTTAAAAGTCATCAATTTCTGTGAACAAGCAGCAGCATGAATCTAAAACTGGCCTGGGGAAGTAGCTCAGTGGTGGAGCACTTGTCTAACATATGCAAGGCCCTGGTTTGATTCACAGCATCACAGATAAAAAAATTAAAAAATCTAAAACCAATAGAACCTTGCTGGGACTGAGAATTCAGTCTTCTTTGGGATGCTCCTTTTATAATAAAGTCCTTAGCCTTATCTTCAGCCTTTACTGCCCTTTGGCTGGTCTCTTCAGATGCCACCAAGGAGACCTCAGACTTTTACCAACTCACCTAGGATTACAGGGGTGGACCTCTCCCAGCTTCTTGTCTACATTTTATTTGTTTGTTTGTTTATTTATTTATTTATTTTTGGTAACAGGGATTGAACCCAGGGGCGCTTAACTATTGAGCCACATCCCCAGCCCTTTTTATTCTTCATTTTAAGACTTGGTCTCACCAAGTTTCTTAGGGCCTCGGTAAATTGCTGAGGCTGACTTTGAACTCGTGATCCTCCTGCCTCAGTCTCCTGAGTCACTGGGATTATAGGCATGCACCACCAGACCTGGCAAGCGAAGTCTAAATTTATGGTTTATTTTGTTTTCTTTGTGAGCATAAAGTGTGTACTTCCCTCATGAATAAAGGAAAACATCCTATCATAAGGCAGTCTGTGATATGGACTAAATTCATTTATCATTTATTAATTTCAATGTTTTTTAATTCATTCATACACTATTATAAATCCCAATACTATAATGCTGCTTAAATACAGCTAAGGCTTCGGATTGGCAACAATGACAAAGTTACTCAGAGCAATCCCTATACTGAAAAACTAAAACAACAAAGTGAGGGGCTGGGGTTGTGGCTAAGAGCACTTGCCTAGCATGTGTGAGGCCCTGGGTTCAATCCTCAGCACCACATAAAGACAAATAAATAAAATAAAAATACTGTAGCCATCTACAACTAGAAAAAAACCCTTTTATAAAAAAGTGGGTAAGATACTTTTTAAACATTTTTTTCAAAGTAAAGACGAATTAACTAGTTAGTAAGTAATTACAAGGACAATTTTTTTAAAAAAATAGGGGTGCCAGGAAAGTGAGAATGAAAGCAGCTTTTGACTTGCCAGTATTTGTGTGACAAATTTCAACTTTAATCTATACTACATTACTAGGAGAGGGGAATGGAATCCAATAGGTTATCCTCCCTAAAATAATTTGGGACCCATAGCTATAATATGAATGTAAACCAAAAGCACATGTTCACATCACATAGGCATTTCAGAACTTAATTTCTGAACCTGGATAATGGTCAGATTGCTAATGCCTACAGGAAATAGGCAGAAGCAACACAATTCTTCTCAGGGAGAAAATTCTCTTATTTCTGTACCTCCAATATTTAATATATAGACAGTGCACACATACACAACACCCCCTGCACAGAAACAGCAGCCATCATCATAAAGATAACCACACATACAGACACACACAGAAAAAGAACAACATAGAGAGAACCAAAAGAAACCACACGAACAGAGAAACCTACAAATACTTCATGTACTGAATTTACCTATCCTCAATCAGTTAATAATTTGGAGGGAAAAGTGGAGACTAACAGAGTTCAAAAGATGATAAAAAGATGATTTAAGGTACAAGGTATGTAATGTGAAGGAGGAAAAGAAGAGAAATAAGAGATTTCCAAAGGAGGTAAGTATATGGGTAAAGTTCGGTTCCCTTCTGGATGTTGGGTTAAAATACAAATAGGACAAGGAATCCATATTATTCCAAGACTGTGATTAAGTGAATATGAAGCTTAGGAGTTCAAAAGGAGGTTTCTCAATAAAAGAGAATTAATTCAATTTTGAATTTGTTTAAGTATCTATGTGAAGTCCACATGGAAAGACACAAAAAATTTATAATGTATGGTTTTGCAGCTGGGCTGATAATACAATCTTGGAAAGCAACATATAGTTGAAATCATGGGTATATGTGGGAGACCAACCTTGCATGTGACTGAGTCACACTCCCTGGCTGGATGCTGAGGAGCTCAGTCGCAGAAATGTGACAGAGTTTTCCCCAGCCTTCTTGGGTTCCAGGGAAGGTGTCTCATGCATGGGTGTGTCTTGCTACAGCCCCATGGGTGGAGCTACGCTCACCTGTTCCTCTGTAATATAACCCCTTACCCTGTTTGGGATAGAATGTTCCATGGAAACACCTTTTGTGTGTCCCCTTATTTACTGTGCCCTTGGGTGTGGCCTACCTAGATGTCAGTCAACCTGATGACAGTGGACATCATGAAGATAGACTCAGCCCCCTGAAACCTGACACCTTGCCTCATTTGAATAGCTTCTCCTCAATAAAAGGGGTCTGCACGTGCGTGCAGGTGTGTGTGTCTCTCTCTCTCTCTCTCTCTCTCTCTCTCTCTCTCACTCTCTCTCTCTCTCTCTCTCTCTCTCTCTCTCTCTCTCTTTCTGCGGACCCTTAAGGTCAGAGGAGCCAACCGACACAGCGACCCCAAAGAAAAAGGTATTTCTGCCTCTTGTGTGGTTATTTTGTGCATCCCAGTTAACCCAGTTTACCTGGAGTGACCCTGAGCCTTTTAGTCAAGAACAGAAACCAGGCAGGTATACACAGAATCCCCTCAAAGGGTGCACAGAATGAGAAAAAAAGGTCCTCAGACAGAAACCTGGGGAATGCCAGCTCTATATTTTAGCACCCTCTTTTAAGAAGATGTCAGAATGACAAAAGAAATAGCCAGAGAAGTAGAGGTGAAAGCAAGAGGTACGCAGTGCAACAGCAGCCAGAGGAGAGAAAGGGATGCTTTTTACATTATTCTACACTTCACTGCTCCAGTTGGGATGAGGGAAGGAAAGAGGTACGTTTTTAGCATTTATTAATTTCAATTTCTTATAATTCCTTCATATACTATTATATCCCAATACTATAATCCTGCTTACATATAAAATACCTGAACCCCAAGGCTAGTTCAAAGTTTAAATAGCCAAGATTTGCTGACATTTTGTTTCCATAAATTTTATTCAAATATATATCTGATGACATTTGCAAATCTCCAAATATAAAAAATGTAAAAAAATGAATCAAATTCCAATACCAGATAATGTATGTTCATCCACAAGTATTCTTAAACTATGTAAGTCTTAAAAATAAAGTACTATTTCAATACCTTTAAAAGTGTTATCTATAAGGCATATTTAGGCTAAACAAATACTTGGAATTCTTGGGCTGTGTTAAAAAATTCAAAAGGTAATTTGGGTCAGTCACCCTGCCTTCAAGAAAAGTGCTCTTAAACCCTTGGAAAGCAAAGGTCTCATCTTAAATACAGCTTGCTATTTACCCACATTTCATTTCAGGGCAATGAATCATATCAGTACATCTCCATGAGAACAAAAGAATTCATACCATTATTTTGTTTTTGCTATGATGGAGCCTCATCATAGCAAAAACAAAATAATGGTATAAATTCAAATAATTGGGCTAATAACCTTTATCCATGTGATAAAGTGTTTATGAAAGACAATAGAAATGTGAATCAAATGTCAGATTTCTTCAAAGGGAACTGAAAACTTGAGGATAATCTGTGAGCTAAATTTAATTATACTGAATTATTTGGATCATTGCTTCACAATTAGCTAATGAGCTCCATGGAGAGCAACTTCACCCATCCCCCTCTCTACAGGTTTACTCCAGGAAGAAAGGTGCTGGGTATGCAGTTAGCTTTTGATGTTTATACTAAACTGAAAATTAGACTCAATTATAATTATTATGTAGAAGATGTTTCTC